GTCATAATTTTTATCCGATTTAAAAAACCGTATTATTATATCACCGTTACACCCAAAGGACGACTGAGTTCGAATTTCGTAAAAATCGACCCAAAATTGACAGACAAAATGGCCGCCGTTCGTTCTGAAATAGCGTAAAAATATGGTATATCAAGGTTGTGGACCCTATAGAGGTCACAATTTTTATCCGATTTTGTTGAAACTTGAAATGTAAGTTTATAACCCAAAGATCTCGGTTCCTTTCGATATTCGCGCATATCGGACTGTAACTTCCTGAATTATGGCCCCTGATTGTACGAAAAATCACGTTTTTAGCTTGCGGACCCTATAGAGGTCATAATTTTTATCCGATTTAAAAAAACGTATTATTATGTCACCGTTACACCCCAAGGGCGACTAAGTTCGAATTTCGTGAAAATCGGCCCAAAATTGAAATGTAAGTTTATAACACAAAGATCTCGGTTCCTTTCGATATTTGCGCATATCGAATTGTAATTTCCTGAATTATGGCCCTTGATTGTAGGAAAAATCACTTTCTTCTTAGCTTGTTCTCTATCCATCTCTTGCAAAATGTGGGCGTATCTTGCATGGCAACCGCTTGTTCTTTTATGGTCTTGAAAGTCGAATTCGTATTTATATAAATGTGCATTTGCCATAAATGGGGCGGGGTCAGTTCCCATTGGCAAACCAATAGTTTGTTGCATTATCTGATCCCCAACCTCAAATATGGCATTATCAATAAGGAAATGTATGATATTTTGAAATTTTTCTTTATCAAAAACTGTCGGCATTGCGACGTTTTATAATCCATTTAGTATCTTCTGCATAAATGGCCATCAAGTTTCTGCCTTTCCCTAAAGCTCCATTAAAGGCTTTATCTACAAACCAATCTAAATTATCTTTAAGATCTGCATGTTGAAGCATAGTATACAAAGTAGAAAAGTCGAACGTTTCTATTGTGTTTGCATTAATTTTTTTATTGATTTTTTCTAAAAATGTCTACTATAGGTTTATTTTTATCAATTATAAAAAAAACTATTAATTCCAGTATAGCTACGAAGTGTTCTGCACCAAATGGCATGTTGGGTTTGGCATAATTTAAGCCCTTTGGTGATAGTCTTGGCTAATGGTTTCGTTTGGCAGATACTGGAGGATATTATAAATCTGAATTTTACTGGATTTTTGTGGAATTTAGGTATAGAATAGATGTAAGGTAGTTCATCTATTTTCACCTTGTCTTTAATATCAATACTCCTGTTAAATGTATATTGGTTATGTAAAATATCTAGTTTAGTTAAATCCGTAATGGATTTATAAGTGTCATCATGGGTATTGGGCCAAAGTCCAACTTAAGTAAGAATATTTCTAATATAGTATTTTTTACAGATAAAGGCAATGTTATTGCTGGCCTTATCGACAGGTGTTAGAACAAATCTATCTTGAAGAGAAGCAAGACATTCAACTGCGGATGTATTATTTAGGACTTCGGGTGACGGGTGTCTTGGGTTAAGTTTTATATCTAAAACAGTGTTTTTCCATTCTCCAAAAGATTCTAATGGTGCCCGAAATTTATCAGACCAAGCTACTATGCATTTCCTGATTTGAGATTTAAGATTATTATGTAACTTTTTGAAATTAATTTTACTAGGTTGTTCTCGAAATTGTGGTCCAAAGCCAAAAAGTTTTTTAAGATTTTTATCTTCAACAATATCGAAGTTTCCTGTCAGTATATGGTCATGAAACTTGTCTTTAAAGGGAGAGTTGGCGCATTGACATGTAGTATTATCGTAATTGTTAATAAATTCTTGTACGTTAAGGTTTTTAATAGTTTGATGGTAGTTAAATATTTTATTACGAATTGGAGGTAAAAATGTGTATACGACTGTAGGTGAAATTTTAGGAATAGTATCTGGTATAGATTTAATTACTGATCGGTCTCTAAAGATTCTATTCAATCCAATGTCTTGTATATGTTTATCTGTATAAAGGATTTTACATAACACGTCAGGTTTTTTCTTTTGCACTTTATGACGCTGTATTGAATGCTTACGTGACAATTTACTATTTATTAAATCGGTTACAACATCGTAATATTGAGGAAGAAAGCGTTCATTAAGTTGATTAGAATAGATGATATCCTGTATGAGGACACCAAGTTTCTTAGCTGTAGATTTTTTCAAAGTGTGTATAATTTGTCGGGCCAGGTTGAGTACACAAGTTGCACGGGACAATTTATCGGAAGTATGGCAGTGACATACAGAATACAATTCATTCAAAATACTTTCTCGGTCTTTTTGAAATTTCGATTTTTTTATAGAACGTTTTTTATTTTGAAATTTATGATCAAGTTTTTTGTAACAATTTCTTGTAATCAAAGTGTTTTCATCACGGTTACTATAATCGATGTTTTTAAATCTATCATTGAGACCATAAGGGAAAATGGTTTGTAATTTTATTATCCAAGTTTCTTCTGCGTGAGTTCTTTTTTGTGTCCTGAACCAGGAAGTTCTTTAATTATTTGAACTCTGTATCCAAAATCATTACATGGATTTTGTTTGAAATGTTGATATAGTAGTTTGTGTGCATTTTCAGAATTTCCTGCTGATCTGTGATTATTAAACCTTGTTTTACAAGATTTACTAGTTTCCCCAACATACTGTAATCTGCAGTAATTGCAGGTTAATAAATATACTATATTTTGCGTATTACAATTAAGATTTTGATCTGTAGAAATATGGTAGCATCTACCAGTAACCGAGCTACCAAATGTGTGGGCTTCATTGTAATCGGTACATAATTTACACTGTCTATAGTTACAAGCACCAATAGACAGACTACAAAATTCACAATTAATATTTGAATCAATTAAATTATTAGGTAGGTTACCCGTATGGGTAAAATTTGATGTCACATTAGTCGAAATTCCTCCCCCCGCAGCCAATTCATCAGAACTACCTGCTAGATTCTTATTGGTGAGATTAACATGCGGAGTCACGTAAGGTGATCCGTGTAGAGGGACAAAATTTCTCATAGGGTTGCTAGCCCTATGGCAGGCTACACCAGGTGGGGGCTGCCCACTGGTGCTTACATTTTTTCTAGTAAGAACCATATTAGAAAAATCGGATAAATATAAATAAATAAATAATGATGAAAAATGTGTAGTGAGTAAACAGGAGCGAAACCCGACAGCGAGAACATTCTACAGTACGAAGGGTTAAAAACTCTACTCTAATTTACACAAAAACAAATACACGGACAGGACATCATACTCAGGAAAACACAAACACACAGACAATTCAAAAAAAGTGAATGGATCCGGGGGCTAGCCGTAAGCGTCCACTGCGCTGTACAGTCCCGGGTCTGTAGTGACACAGACTCCACTCAAATTTGAAAACAATGAGGAATAGAACCCATTGTGTAATGCCAGCATGTGTCATGATCTGCTATATGCTATAAGACTTGAAACTAGTTGGGAAGCACCCCCGGACCCTACCCATTCCCCCGGCTCCTTCATCTATGGCTACGAGCATGATTTGCTACTATATTATCTTAGTCCACTGCCACCACTGCTTAATATTGAGCGACTTGTTTATTCGACTGAACTTTTTGACTGAATTATTCGACTGGTTTATTCGACTGGATTATTCGACTGAACTATTTGACTTGTTATTGACTGAACTAATTGACTGATTTTATCTACTGGACGAGGCCACATGAAAATGTCAAATACCTCATCCCCACAAGCCCCCCCCCCCCATCGCATCCCCTTTCTACGTTTCTATCATATATAGGGACTCTATTCTTTTCGTAGTGGACAAGGACAACTGTCTAGTCGTTCGGATGGGACGAAAAACCGAGGTCCCATGTACAAATTGGCGTGCACGTAAAAGATCTCTTGACAGTTGGAATTCGATATGAGAGTAGGCCGTAGTGCCGCTGTCCGGACAAAATTTCCCTCATAGCACACTGTATGACGTATGCCCGTCTTCATTAGCCGAGTTCGGAGCAGAACAGTAGGGCGTTAAACCCCATTTCATTTCATTTCTTTTCGAGGTGGGGGGGGGGACGAAAATATTATTATCTACTCAAGTGCATGCATCACTTAAGACTGATGAAGACCTCTCCACCCCCTCCCCCTTTCCTGCCGTGCCTCTGGCTCTTTCAGTTATGGCTTAACTATCGCGTGAATACCTTACTTATCAAACTACTTTTGCCCGTAAAATCGATCTTGAAACTAGTTGGGAAGCCCCCCCGCCCCTACCCCATGCCCTCGGCTCCTTCAGCTATGGCTACGAGCATGATTTGCTACTGCCACCTATGCTAAATATTGAGCAACTTGTTTATTCGACTGAATTATTCGACTGACTTTTCGACTGAATTATTCGACTGGTTTATATTTGACTGATGTTATCGACTGAACTAAATGACTGATTTTATCGACTGGAGGTGAGGCCACATGAAAATGTCAAATACCTCATCCCGACACGGGTCACACGCCACCCTCCCCACCTCACCCCCATCGCATCCCCATTCTACGTTCATATCATATATAGGGACTCTATTCTTTTCGAAGTGGACAAGGACAGCTGTCTAGTCATTCGGATGGGACGCAAAACCGAGGTCCCATGTACACAATGGCGTGCACGTAAAAGATGGGGGCATATGGGGATGAGGGAAAAAGTAAAGCATGACTTTATTAAGCCGCGGTGGCAATAACTAAGATAACACCTTAAAGTTTTACTTTGAACAATCAAATTTGAACATGAGGGAACGTAAAAAATAAACAAAAACAATGATAAAAGATATTGGAATTAGTGCGTTTTTTCTTTAATTTATACTGATTACAAACTATTCCAAAATTTTAATAAGCCATCGACCGGTTTATTCGACTGATTATTTGATTTGGACTTAGGGTCGACTCTCGAAGGTTTTTGTTCAAGGGGAAGTAACTCGCTGTACAAAATCTTCTGTGATTGAAGGCTGAAACAACTGTCAACGTGAGAAAATGGTAAGAAAGGAAATCTTAAAAAGTACATTTAGCTTCTAAATCCACAAGTTTCCAATTTTCATTTCCGGATACTTTATCAGATACACCGGTAGCGCAATACCGAAAGGAAGCCACCCAGAAAACAGTCAACAACAACACGTTGCAGAGGAGAGGTCAGCGGGTCGCCCTAATTTAGTGACTGATGATACCGCCGGTAATTAAAGGACCTAAGTCCGTAACTCAAGATCCTCCAAAATCTTCGACATCGAAAACACGAATTATTGGTCAATTTAAATCAACATTGATGATGTAAACTTACCGGGAAAAGATGAGCTTCTGATATCCGATATTTAAGATAAAATAATTTTTTTTAACATTTACATTGGTACACGAATCGTGTACCATAATGCGCTTCAGCCCCAGTTGTATTGAAAGACTCGGGGGACGAGGCTAGACACATTGCACCAAATCAAATGGAGTTATGTAGACTAGAATAACTAGACGCTAGAAATTTGCACTCGATTGAGATTGCTGACTTATTTCGCCGAACATAACTGATTTGAAATTGGAGTAAAAACGGAAACCATTAAATGTAAATCAGTTTATATACATTCATATTACAGTATTATATGCGTTGCGACCCACTTTTGTGAATTTCTAGGTCCCAAATGTTAGCGATTTAGCTCCTTTAAAGGACCCAAGTCTGTAACTCAAAATCCTCCAAAATCTTCGACATCGAAAACACGAATTATTGGTCAATTTAAATCAACATTGATGATGTAAACATACCGGGAAAAGATGAGTTTCTGATATCCAATATTTAAGATAAAATAATTTTTTTTAACATTGGCTTGGTACACGAATCGTGTACCATAATGTGCTTCAACCCCAGTTGTATTGAGAGACTCGAGGGACGAGGCTAGACACATTGCACCAAATCAAATGGAGTTATGTAGACTAGAATAACTAGACGCTAGAAATTTGCACTTGATTGAGATTGCTGACTTATTTCGCCGAACATAACTGATTTGAAATTGGAGTAAAAACGGAAACCATTAAATGTAAATCAGTTTATATACATTCATATTACAGTATTATATGCGTTGCGACCCACTTTTGTGAATTTCTAGGTCCCAAATGATTGCGTTATAGCTCCTTTAAATAATAATAGGCCTAATATTACCATGTGCCATCCAAAATAGGCCTAAAATTACCATGTGCCATCCAAAATTCAATTTTTGAGCTAGAGACCCAAAACTTTGTAGACAGTGAGAATCATTAATCTGTTTAAATTTTAAAAATCGGTTCAGAACTTTTATTTTTGTAGCTGATTTTATATACCTATGGGTTAGTTTCTATACTTGTAACGTTAAACTGTGTGTTTAACGTTACAATTGATACAGTCTAAGAATCCTTACGCAAGTTCAAATAGGTTCAAACGCACAATTGTCAACACATATCATTACAGTTTGTATTGGAATAAGTAATTCTATGACAAATATTGAAGACTGGACCACTAAAATAGTTACCGAACAGTTTTTGTTTATGGTTATGCGTTCTACATTTGCATAGCGATGTTTCTTGTAATGACGTATTACACAAGCCGCCATGACACCAGCCGGTTGAAATTTCGCGTAGCAGTTGGGTTTCATCAAATCATATAATAATGCGGTAAGGCTTCACCTTTATTTCAATAGGAATTGATTTATTATATGTTAAGCTAGGTGCAGTACTGTTTTGGGTCAGTTTATGTGTAAATTAAGGGAGCTATAGCCCAGTAACCTATTTGTAGTGATTTCACTAAAAAACTTGCGCAAAGGAACTCCTGTAGGACGAGCCACTACTGTGGCTGGAGTAAGGCGGAAGACATCAGTAGTGGAACCATTTCTAACCTATGGGTAAGCAGTGTTTTGCAAAATTCCGTCAAAAACAGGCAAAAATAATAATTTGACTGACTGACTGAATGACTTTGGAGCAGGCTCAAATTTTACTCACATGTGCTAGATATACACATTTACTGAAATCAACCACAAAAATATTGTTTTTAACATTTATTTGGACAAAATTTAAAGGAATTCGTCCATATTTCGTACAGAAAAGTAATAAAAATAACAATTATTATTATAAAACAAAATCATAAAAAAAAAAATCATATTTGATCTTGAAAATCAGTTTTCTGATTATGGAATAATAAAATCAAACCAGGAAGTATGTTTTTTTTGACCAGATACGAAATATTAAATAAAAATATGAAATTTAATAAATGGAAATGAAACAAACTTTATGTCTATTGTGAAGTGATGTGTTCACTTAAAATAATGATTGCTCCCTAGTCACGTGTTCTGTAAGCAATGACGTCCAATATAAATGTTGTTGACTAAATTGATTATCTTCGTCCTTCTTACAAGCCCCAATTATACATTGGTAATAGAGAACAACGTAACATGGTGTCAGAATATGTCAAGAACTCACCACACACACTCTTGGACCAGATAAGTGTTGTATTATTCCAGAAATTGATCTGAAGCGTTCAAACATTCCGGACACAGAACGACATCACGTAATTGACTAATTCAACCTTCGTTGAAGGCGAACTGCTTTCTGAACTGTAAATCTGTTATTGCTGTGAAGTTTGAGTAACATACTGACTGCTGACAACTTTAGTCAAACTGATTCTGATGTTTTGCTGTGAATAATAATGCAAAACTGCACGGAGAACTAGTCACACGTTTGACGGGGAAAAAATCTACGGAAGCCTGATTCCACCATCTTAATATCTGTTTTCAACTTTTTGCCTTTGTTGACTTACAACTTTTCCACCATGGGTGATGAAGATAATGTAACACAGGCTCAAATCATCAGAGTACCTACTAATATTCCATTACCCCCAAAATTGGATTTAAAGGGAGATCTATCCAGAAATTTCCGCAAATTTAAAAGAATGTGGACAAATTATGAACTGGCTGCACGCTGCAAAGATGAACCTGATGATGGCAGATCGGCAACACTGCTTACCTGTATCGGTTCTGATGCATTGGATATTCTGGATGAACTTCAATTTGAAGAAGAGGAGGAGAAAATGAAAGTTGAAAAAATTCTGGAGCAATTTGAAGTGTATTGCATAGGCGAAACAGATGAAACCTGGGAAAGGTACACCTTCAACAAAAGGGACCAAGAGCAGTTTGAATCTATTGACTCGTATGTTGCTACTCTTAGGATACTGGCCAAAACATGTAACTATGGTAACCTAGAGCAATCACTGATTCGAGACAGGATAGTCATTGGAAAAAAGGACAATACCCTTAGAAAACATCTTCTGCAGAACTCGAAATTAACTTTAAAAGACTGTGTGGATATATGTAGGGCACACGAGAATGCTTCTAGAAGATTAAAATCGATGGCTACAGAGGATGTTCAAGCGATTCAACGGAAGGGAACTAATGAACACATGTCTACTAAGTCACTGCAGCCATCTACAGCTCTGAAATGTAAGTTTTGTGGGTACCAACATGAGTTTGGAAAGAAGCTTTGTCCAGCTTGGGGAAAAATTTGTAGCTCCTGTCGCGAAACTAATCACTTTTCGAAGATGTGTCCAAAACAAGGTTTTGGGAAATCTAAAGTTCATGATGATGAATATATTATGTCTATTGATAAGGACTCTGAATATGTGAATTCTGTGAACTCTCAGCATGATGGTGAATTGGTGAACAACTACCCAAAGAGAATCTTTGCCCATATGTCCCTCAATAACAAAGACGTAAATTTTCAACTGGACTGTGGATCTACCGTCAATATTTTACCCCAGAAACTATACACGGAAGTCTTTGAAGACCAAGGACTAAACAAACTTGTAAAAGGGTCAAAAACAATTCTTCGCATGTTCAACGGATCTCAGACCATTCCTATTGGGAAGCAAAGAATTTCCATCACTAATCCAAAAAATAGTCGCAGATATAGCCTTGAGTTTCTTGTGGTGGAAGGTGAAGCTTGCAAGCCAATTCTGGGATCCCGGGCAATTCAGCACATGAAACTTGTGACTGTTAACTTTGAAAACATTCTTCTGTTGTCATCACAAGTAGCAAGAAGAAAGGTGCTTCTCCAACACAGGTAACTGATAAACTGGAACTGACTGATATTTATGAACAGTATGCAGATTTGTTCATAGGAGAAGGAAAGCTTGACGGAATGCTTCATTTGGAAGTTGACAACACTGTAAAGCCCGTACAGTTGCCTCAACAAATAATTCCTGTTGCTCTACAGGAATCCCTGAAAACTGAATTTGAACGACTTACTGAAATAAAGATCATCACACCTGTTGATGTTCCAACTGACTGGATATCTGCGTTAGTTGTTGTCAAAAAACCAGAAACTGGCAAACTGCGGATCTGTATTGATCCGAAACCTCTGAACTCTGCTCTGAAACGTAACCATTATCCAACTGTGACTATCGAAGATGTACTTCCTGATCTCTCGAAGGCTAGGTGTTTTTCATTGGTTGATGCCAAGAATGGGTTCTGGCACAAACAGCTTGACGAAGAGAGTAGCTACTTAACCACTTTCGACAAGCCATGGGGAAGATACAGGTGGCTCCGAATGCCTTTTGGACTTTCACCTGCCCCTAAAGAATTCCAGAGGAGACTAGATAATGCAATATCGGGCCTGGATGGTGTTAGAGCTGTACATGACGATATTCTTGTCTATGGCATAGGAGATAGCTTTGAAGAAGCTGAACGCAACCACGACCAGAAAATGACAACTTTGTTGGATCGCTGCAGACAAAAGAACATCAAGCTGAACAAGTCAAAGATGAAACTGAAGCTCCCCGAGGTACCCTATCTAGGACATGTAATGACTGCAGATGGTTTAAGAATTGACCCGTGCAAGGTTGAAGCCATCAAGTATATGCCTGCTCCAGTTGACAAGCAGGGAGTTCAGCGCCTTCTAGGTATGGTGAATTTTGTGCAGAAATTTGCTTCCCATGTTTCTGAAGTCACTGCACCACTGAGAGATCTTCTGAAGGATGACATACAGTTCCACTGGAACGAGGATGTACAAGGAATATGCCTTAACAAAGTGAAGGATATTCTCTCAAATCCTCCTGTTCTGAAATACTTTGACAATGATGCTGAAACCATCATACAGTGTGATGCATCTCAATCAGGACTTGGTGCTTGCTTGATCCAGGGTGATCAACCTGTTGCATATGCCTCGAGA